GAGAGGAATACACAGAAGCACCATCACGGAGGACAAGAGCTCTGCTGAAGCTTCCCAGGCACTCTCTGCTAAAGCACTGGAGAATTTCTCAGAACACTTGGATGAAAAGCAGATATTATCATTCTCTGGCCCTCTAGAAAATTAACAAGCAAAATGCCTTGGGCATCCCAAAAAAACTGTTGCCATGACCTTTGCCCTTCACTGGTCCACTTTTGCTTTGATTGGACCACTTCTACCTCTTGGAAGCCAATGTTTTGTGCTTTGTCTTAAGGACCATACTGGAAAAATGTTTCATCTCCTGCTATAATTCTTTAATCCTTCAGGGACTTGATCCCACTGGTTTGAAACTTCCATTGAAAGCTCTGCTCTCATCTGAAGCTGATCTGGGCACAAGTATGGGCACTCTTACCAAGCACAGAGTTTGCTCCCCTTCAATTTATCAGTCAGAACTGTATACACTGAGCCAACTGAGATGTCTATGATGTAGGCTACTGTTTCTGCCATTAATCACTGCTCTCCAACTAGGGCACAAACAAAAGCAATTTTTTCTGCACAACTTGATGTGGATGATCTGTTGCAGCAGGCTTCACATTCAACATCATCTGGTCCCTTCCTAAAGCAAGTTATTCATTTGTAAACTGCTGATTTCTCTGGGCCACAGTCCCCATAAACATTATATAAAACTCCAATGCTTCCACTCAAGCTTCACCATAAATTTTCGGTTTGTTCTTATTTCAATATTTGCAGAATTCATATTGTTCTGAGGGGTTCTTTACAAACCAATGTCTTACCCATCTTAGTGCCTCAAACTAGATCCTGTTCAGACATGTTATAACAAGCTGATTTAAGTTTTCTTTGATGCAAAAAAGTCTATGCATAGTTTCATAATATGTATTTCCATGAACTTGCTGAACTCTTCTCATAGCAATGGTAAGTAAGCATATCAACATCATATGTCATTCAGGAATTGCAAATTATAAAACAATGAGACACACTAGACAACTATTAGAATGGCTAAAATCCAAAATACAACACCAAATGCTAGCAAGCATGTGAGGCAACAGGAACTCTCATTCAATGTTGGTAGAAATACAAAATGGTACAGCCACTTTGGAAGACAGTTTGGCAGATTTGTACAAAACTAAACATACTCTTACCATATGATGGAGCAATCATGCTCCTTGGTATTTACCCAACTGAAATGAAACTTATGTCCATACAAAAACCTGCACACAGACATTTATAGCAGCCTTATACATAGCTACCAAACAGACACAACCAAGACGTCCATCAGTAGGGGAGTGGATAAATAACCTGCAGTAAACATTGAGACCATGAGTATTACTTAGCATTAAAAAGAAATGAGCTAAAAAAGCATTTTTCAAAACGCATTAAAGTTAAGTGTATACTATTGAGTGAAGGAAGCCAATCTGAAAAGGCTGCAATACCATATGATTCCAAGTATATAATATTCTGGAAAGGCACCATGGTACAGTAGGTTAACCCTCCACCTGCAGCACTGGCATCTCATATGGGCGCCGGTTCTAGTCCCAGCTGCTCCTCTTCCAATCCAGCTCTCTGCTGAGGCCTGGGAAAGCAGTAGAAGATGGCCCAAGTGCTTGGGCCCTGCACCTGCATAAGAGACCAGGAAGAAGCACCTGGCTCCTGGCTTCGGATCAGTGCAGCTCCAGCCATTGCAGCCATTTGGGAAGCGAACCACCAGAATGAAGACCTTTCTCTCTGTCTCTCCCTCTCACTATCTATAACTCTACCTCTCAAATAAATAAATAAAATCTTAAAAAAAAAAAAAAAACAAAAAAAAAAAACAACTATGGAGCCAAAAAAAAAAGGCTAGTGTTTTCCATGGTCGAGAGACGCAGGAGGGATAATTAAGCTGATATGCAGAGTCCAGAGGACCTTCAGGGCAGCTGAAACTCTCCTGATACTATAACGGTGGGTACCACACATTACATATTTGTCAAAACCCATAGGATGCACAACACCAAGAGTGAGCCTCAGTGTAAACTAAGGACTTTGGGTGATAATGATTGTCAAGGTAGGTGCAACATTCAAAACAGATCTTCAATTCAGTGCAGGATGTTGACAGAGGGAGAGCTGTGCTTATCTTGCATTAGGAGGAATATGGGAACTCTATTTTTCTCTTAATTTTGCTGTGACCCTCAGAATTCACTAGACACACTATTCACAAAAAAGATTAATTTTCTTAAAATCAGTAGAATACTGGGGGGGGGGGGGCAGTGAACAACAAATCCATAAAAAATGCCTGTGTACTACACAAAAGCCTGAACAAACCTGGAAGCAGCCAGGATGTCCTTCAGTAGGTAATGGCTGACTACACTGTGATATATCCACACCATGGAATACTGCATAGCACTAAAAAGAAATGAGCTAACAAGCCACAGAAACACAAGAAAGAACCCAAAGCGCATATTACTAAGTCAAAAAAGGCAATCTGCAAATGCTACATATCATATGATTATAACCATATGACATTCCAGAAAAGGCAAAACAGAGACAGTAGAAAAATCAGTGGTTGCCAGGGGTTAGAAGAAAGATGAATAGGTAGAATGAACAGGATTTTTAGAGCAGTGAAACTATTTTGTATGACACTCCTGGTGGGCGTTATTACACATCTGTCAAAACTCATAGAATGTATAACTCCAAGAGTCCTGATTCTACTGTGGACTTTGATAATGATGTATCAATATAGGCTCATCAAAGGGAACCTATGTTGGGAGGGAGGCAGGGGCCAGAACTCTACTTTTTTGCTCAATTTTGCCTTGGATATAAAACTTTCTAAAAAGTAAAGTCCGTTTTTTAAAAACACCTGTGTTTCTGGCAGCAAGCAGGTCCTGAAAAATTGGCGATAATAGATGGAAAGAAACTAAAAATAACAACATAACTGAAAACGCCCTTTAGGAAAATATCTTATGAGCGATTTAGTCTACAGACACAGACTTTTTTCAGGTGGCAGTTCACTTTGAGGAATATAGTTGATATAATTCATCTCACTACAAATAAATTTCTCTTGCACAGGAGGTAACTAAGTCACACACCTTGCAATGCAAGAGAATAAACTATACCACATTTACCTGAAAAGTAGCGCCTTTACTACTTACCTAATGGTTTTGAAATTTGTGAGCACTCTGAAGTAGCCAGAAAAGTTAAAGCCAAAACTCAAAAGTCCCAGGAGCATTTGAATGCCAGCTCTGCATTCGATTCCAGCTTTCTGCTAACATGCACCCTGAGAGGCAGCAGGTGACAGCTCAAGTAGTTGGATTCCTGCCACCCATTTTGGAGACCTGGATTAAGTTCCCAGTTCCCAACTTCAGCCTGGCCCAGCCATGGCTGTTGTAGACATTTGGGAAGCAACTCCAGCAGATGGAAGATGTGTGTGTGTGTATGTGTGTGTGTGTCTGCCTTTCAAATAAATAAAGACAGAAAAATAAACATAAGAGAGAAGATTCCATTCCCTTATTTTATTTTATTTTATTTTCTATTTTAGAAGCAGTTCAAGCCTCAGTCAGCTCACAAGGACATACTTCGAGAGCCTCTGGTCTAGTCCAACCCTCTTACTTTACAGATGAGTAATCATAAAGACTGTTCTCATCTCTGGGTCTCAAGATCATCCTCTTCCAGCTCTGAAGCCCTAAGACTTCCATTGTTTATTCACTGCCCAAATACCCAAAGAAATTATATGGGGAGGTGGTGGCAATTAAAATGAGGCACTCTCTCTCATACATAGTTCTGTAACTTTAAATATTACTCTTACCATACGTTTAATCAGCTGGTAATCAGAAGCAAAGCCACAGCTCTTAAACCTTCTTCCCCCAACCTCACAGCAGTATAGAGCATTCCATTTTAAAGGTGTAGAAAAACCCTGCCATTTGCATCAGGTAGGTTCCCAATCCTCTAATTTCCCAAAACAAAGCGTGGTTAGGCATAATATCCTAAGAATTTCTGACTGTAACAAGCGGAAAGCGACAGGGTTATGTTGAGGTGAAGACTCTGGCTGGCTAGCCCAGCTCATGGCCAGGTGAAGGACCTGTTCCACATAGGATGCCAGCTCGAAGCAGGACTCAAGAGCTGTGTAACAGCATGATTATGAATTGTATCACAGACCTTCAGTCACTTGCAAATTAAAACAACTGTGAATGTGAAATCTGCGACATGATACATCCGCTTCCCTTATTTCAGCTCTACCACTTAGTTATCTAAATTCAAACAACGGACTTTGTCTAGTTACCCATTTGAAAAATGGCAACGCTCACAGTACCTGCCTTATTGGGTTGCTGGGCTGACTGGATGAAGGATACGTGTAACAAGCTCAGAACAGTGTGTGGCACACAGTGAATGTTACAGAATGTCAGTTATTATCTTATTTGAGCTTTATGACTTAGAGGTATTTTAATTCCCATAGTTTGCAGAAGAGGCATCTGTTGTGTAGTGGAAAGAACAATGACCTCAGAAGCTAAGGATCTAGGTTCAGCCTCTGGTTCACTTACTGAGTGACCCCCTCTGAGCACCTGGCTTGCAGGGCCTAGTTTTATCTATAAAATGAGGACGGCAATACCATTTCTGTCCACCCACATTACTGCTAAAAGCATCCAAGATCACATATGTGAAAACATTTTGCTAATTTTGCTAAACAAAAGACGTTTCAGATGAGCCACAGTGTGAGTCCTGTTGTAGGAGGCAGTACAGGCTTTAGAGATACACTGAGTTCAAATTTGGGTTCCATCATCCTAGAAGCCGTGTGACTTGGACAGATCACCTTTCTCTGCCTCACTGACAACAGTACTTATCTCACTAATACACATAAAACACTTGAAACAGTACCTGCTACACAGTAAGGCTCGGAAAATGTCAGTTGCCCATCAATTACTGCTATCATTACAGTGGTCTGGGCTATTATTAACCCAGTCCCAGCCCCCCACCTTGGCCGACAGACTCCTCAGAGAACAGAGCATTTGCCTCACCTGTTGTCCCGCGGCCTGGGCCTCGCGGTGCCAATCCTCCACCAGGGCTACTGCTTCCTCCCCACTCTCAGGGTGGCGCGCCTGCACCCAGGTCTGGACCTCCTTGGGCAGGATAGTCAGGAACTGCTCCAGCACCAGCAGCTCCAGGATCTGTTCTTTGAGGCGGATCTCCGGCCTCAGCCAATGACAGCAGAGAGCCCAGAGCTGGCTGAAGGCCTCGTGCGGTCCAGCCGCATCCCTGTACTGAAACTGCCTGAAACGCTGGCGGGAGGCCTCGGGCCCAGGGACAGGGTCATGGTGGTTCTCCAGGGGTTTGGATTCTGATCCCCATGAGTCCTCCTCCAGTTTTACAATCAGGAAGTCTTCAGGTTCTGGAGGGGGAGAGGCTTGGGCCCAAGAGTCCAAGACCACAGCCATGGTCTAGCCTGGACGCCTCACTTCAGCTGGGCTGTCTTTGGCTTCCTGCATCTATAGGGCGTCCTCCATGGGGTTCCTGAGGCAAGGACTGCTCCCCCAAGGCTCTGAAGGAAGAAAGACAAAGGACAGAGTGAGCAAGAGGATCCAGGAGCCTCACTCTCCTCATCCCCCTACACCTTCCTTCACCTTTGCAAGGCACAGAGGTGTTAAGAGATGCAGAAATGACACCACAATCTGACGCCAGCAGCCAGCACTTTAGAGGAAGACAGCACATGGTTAAATCCTCTGGGACATACCCAAACACCTTAACCTGGTCCCTCTAACCTCCTAGAACTTGCCCAGTGTAGCCTTCTTCCCTTCTACACATGTCCAAGGTCGAACCTTCTCTCAAGTTGGGTTCCAAATGTCACCCCCTCCTTAAGGCCTTTCTTTTTGAACTCTAAAACCTGGCATTCTTCTAATGATGCCCCCCTTGCAAAATCCTTCTCCCCCTCTACACTCCCCATCAGCCATCGTACCCATTTGGCATTACTCATCAACGTCTGTGGGGAGCAACTCAGACTAGACTAAGTTACTGGAATTAAGACTTATTCTATGCATCTGCTCTCCCACAATATGGCGCTGGGAGAGGAGGAAACAGCTTCTACGCAGCTGCCTCTCGCCAACTTGAGTGATGACCTGCAGGAGCTGATCCTGCTCCTGATTGGAGGAGAGCAGCGTGCTCGGCGTGTGGGTAGCAGAGTTGGGATTGGTGGAAGAGGACTATAAAGGAGGAGAGAGACAACATGCACCAGGAACATCTAAGGGGAACACCTGAGGAACATCTGAGCAGCCCCCGAGAGAGCCGGCCAGCGGTGTGCTGCTCCCCCGCGGAAGTGCGGAAAGTGGCAGGGGGAACCGCCCTTCCACGGAGGTGGAAGGGTCGGTAACCCGGGAAGAACCAGCAGCAAACCCGGGGAGGGCCGAGCAGACAAAAGAACAGCGCAGGGTCCTGTGTCGTTCCTCCACGAAGAGGGGGAGCGACATAATGGTGCCGTGACTCGGATAGGAAGCCTAGGCAGGGTTTAGTGTCGTTCCTCCACGAAGAGGGGGAGCGACAAACGTCCAATCAGATTATTCCCAAAACTCCAGTCATGACTGTCTCCAAATCTCTAGACCCCAAGATTCAAACACTTACATGATGTTTCCACTGGACGCTCCCCTTAGCACCTCAAACTCATGTGTCAAAATCGAATTTATCACATTCTCCTGCAAACCTGTCTGGTGCCCCCTCCTCCCCTTTATCAGTGAAGGCATCACCTGCCATCAAGCTACACACACCAGACACTTGGTCATCTTCCTCCAAGATCCCCCACATCCAACTCATCACCAAGCCATGTTCCCTAGTCCCCACATCCCCAGGGCCACCTCCTCAGTCCAGACATCATTGTGTCTTTCACTTGATCAGCTGCCCAACTCACAGCTCTGCCTCCACTCCCCTCCCCCAACCCCGGTCCATCCTTTGCACTGCTGCCTAGACTAGATCAAATTTGACTCCGTCATTTCCCTACTAAACGCCCATCAGCACTCTCCCATTTCCCTGAGCATAAAGCACAAACCGTGCCCATGTCTCCAACCTCATCTCTTCCTCAAGTTTCCACACATCAGGGTGTTCTAGCTGCACAGCTTGCAAGCAGTCCCTATACTGTGTTGCCCTCTGAACCCTTCCCTGTGCTGCGGCCTCCTCTTCCCTTTCTTCGCATCACTGGGTCTTGGCTTAGATTACATTTTTTCCACAAGGCCTTTGTTTCCTGAAACAAGATCCAGTCCTAAACTGCAAGCTTCCACAGTATCTTCTGTTTTCCCAGTCCTAACCCTTTATTGTAATCATCTCACCCACTAGATCATAAGCTTCCAAAGGGATCTAGCCTAGGGCTCAGTGCACACAGGCAAACAGGGAGCCCTCAGTAAACAGCAAAGGAACAACCCATCAACTAATGACGTTGGTGTGTCACGAAGCAAGGATTACTACTAATCCCCTTCTGTGCACACTCGATAAAACAAGAATAAACGACCTTCCTGTTCATGCCAGAGGAACTCCTTTCTCCTCTCCATTGCCATCACTCTGTGATACATTTTCTACGTTAATATTAGAGGGATATGTATATGTGTCCCCAAGGAGATGACTGCCTCCTTGATGACACTCATGCTGGGTTATCTGAAAAAATGCTCTCTTTGTGACATTTCAAACAAGTGTAGATGATATAAAAAAAAAAAAAATTCTGGCTCAAAGGAGGCCATTAGCTGCTTCCAAGTGGCTATGACACAGCTAAACTGAGAATGAAGGGAGGGTGGCATTTTGCATTTTAGGTCATCTGACTGGACTGTATGGAAACAAGGCAAGGGCGATGAAAAATGAAGGCTTGTCCTAAAAACCTCCATACACTAAGGAAAAGGCGGGGAGTAGAACGCATGGCTACCTCGCAACATCCTGCCCATTCTTCAGCTACCAGCTCAAATGGTGCCTCCTCTGATAAGACTTCATCAACACGCCCTCATGTCATGTCCTGCTCCCAGCCCTGCTCTCCAAGCACTGCCTCCCTAGTCCCAGGTTCCCAAAGCAAACCCCAAAGTATCTCGAAAAGATGTGGTAGCCTATACTCACAGAGTTGCCTGTTTCCACATCTGACAGCCCCACTAAACTCAGTTCTTGGGGCCAATACTGAAACTTACCTAAATCTGTGTTCAGTGTCCAATCCAGTACCTGACAAATAGTGGGACCATCAAAAAGGTTTTTTGTCTTTTATTCAAATGGTAAATCTGGTAGATCAAGAGCCCAGTGGACATGAAAGGTCCAAAACTTATATTAAACTAAATAATTAACCATTCAGGAGACTTTTCTCTCTAACCACAACCTTACAGATGGACTATACAAACACATTTCTGTCACTCTCATGTGCAAGCGCTAATTCACCAGTCATTCACACTGTATACAGTCATACACACTAGGTACACTGTACTGGGAGCTAGAGATTCAACAGCAGCACAACAGACAGTCCCTACCTTCAAGGAAGTTGAAGTCTAGTAAAAGACACAAGCAAGGATGTGTGTGCTCCAACACAAAGAAGCCACTACAACATAACAGCCGAAAATGGGTGGAGGGAAGAGACCAAGATGGCGGAACAGGGACGGGACTTACTGCTCTAGTCTAGGGGAGGATAGTTTTTAAAAAATGGAGAGAGTGCAATCTCAGGGAAGAGTTAGGGAGAAAATGGCAGAGGAAACTCCACACAAATTAGAGGGACACTGTGGATCCACGTGGAGGGTGTGGATGCACACAACTCAGGACCCCAGCAGTTGAGAGCCTCAGAACCAGCTTTGAAGAGTGAAGCGAGACCAGACTGCAACAGCCTAAGCCTCTGGTGATAAAGCTGAGGGAAGAGACTGGTAAGAGTCCAGCTTGGAGCCCTATGGGGAACAGTATACCTGCCAACCTAGAGGCTAAAAAGGGGGGCACATTTCTCTCCCCGACCACCCAGCACCTGCATCCAGTAACTAGCTGAGAGGGAGTAGGTGCCATTTTTGACATCTGTAACAGCTGCAACATCTCATGTCTGTACACCCAGTATCCAGCTGAGAGAAGACCCCTGAGTCCGGCTGGGAGAACTGACAGGGGTTAAGGGCTTGTGACTGTGGAGGTCTTTGTGCTGGGACTGTGAAAACACTGTGGCTGCATGTGAGGGCGCAGGGTGTGGCTGGGTCTTTGGGCAGTCACTATGGATGTCTCCACACACTTGGGGCTCTCAGATTCCCTGGTCAGGGTCATTGCTGCAGGATCCATGCTCACACAGACAACTGCACAGATCCTTTGTATGGTTCTTGTGGCAGTGCAAATAAATATTACACCCACTGGGGCTAGCAACCAGGCACTAGGGTCTCCTTGGAGGAGAGGGGGTGAGCATAAGACTATGCCAACAGAGCAGATTAAATCTCTCCTCTGATTAAGAGAGAGAGAGAGAGAGAGAGAGAGATTTACCACACCCAATTTGGGTATCACCTTGGACACTCCTCTCACCCTGTAGCACTGAACAGAGCTCCCTGGCCACACCCAATACACCCCTCAGGGTATTCACTGAAAAAACAGACACTCCACTAATCCACAGAGGCATAGCCAAAAGATAAAAGCCATCACAGGGAAAAACAAACAAACTAAAAAACAACAAGTATCTCCACAAATGCCTAAAAGTAAATGCAGCAATTTAAGAAACAAGAATAAGGCAGACAAAGTGACACCTCCAAAGGAACACAGCAACATTTCAATACTAGAATGTGAAAATGAAGAGACCAAAGAAATGCTGGAAACGAAATTCAAAAAATGGATCATAGGATTACTTAAAAGTAATCAAAAGCAAATCCATGAATTAAAGAAGTCCATACATGACATGAATGAAAATTTCTCACATGAAATCGAGATTTTAAAGAGAAATCAAAATGAAATATTGGAAATGAAGACTTCAATAGATCAAATAAAAAATGTGGTGGAAAGCCTTAACAACACACCAGTGAGGCAGAAGAAATAATATCCAAGTTACAAGACAAATCTTGGGAAATTTTACAGACAGACCAAAATCAAGATGAAGAAATTTAAAAAACTAAAAAACAGTGTTGGAGATTTATGGGACACTATCAAATGACCCAACATACAGGTCTTAGAATTTCCTGAAGGTGTAGAAAGAGAAAACGGAGTAGAAGGCCTTTTTAGTGAAATAATTACAGAAAACTTCCCTAATTTGGAGAAAGAAAGGGACATCCAACTATAGGAAGCACATAAAATTCCTAATAGACATGACCAGGAAAGATCCTTACCACAACACATTGTAGTCAAACTCTCCACAGTAAATCATTAAGAAAATTCTAAAATGTACATGAGAGAAACACCAGATTACTTTCAGACAATCTCCAATTAGACTCACAGCAGACTTCTCATCAGAAACTCTACAGGCAACATATATTCCAATCTTAAGAGAAAATATTGTCAACCCAGAATACGTACCTTGCAAAGCTCTCATTTATGAATGAAGGTGAAATAACAACCTTCCATAACAAACAGAAATTGAAAGAATTTGTCACCACTCATCCAACCTTACAAAATACGCTTAAGGATGTGCTTCACACAGAATCACAGAAACATGGTCATCACTATGAAAGAAGGTGAAGGCAGAAAATCTCAGTAACAGCATAAAGGAAATCCATAGTAAGCAACAGAAATCTTTATGGGAAAATGGCAGGACCAAGTTGTTACTTATCAACAGTCACCTTGAATGTAAATGGCCTCAGCTCTCCAGTTAAAAGATACAGACTGGCTAAATGGATTCAAAAACAAAAGCCATCTTTGTGTTGCCTATAAAAAACACATCTCACCAACAAAGATACAAACAGACTGAAAGTGAAAGGATGGAAAAAGATATTCCATGTTAACAGAAACCAAAAAAGAGCTGGTGCAGCCATCCTAGTATCACACAAAATAGATTTTAACACAAAAACTGTTAAAAGACACAAAGAATGGCATTATGCAATGATTAAGGGATCAATTCAACAGGAAGATGTGACTATAATAAATGTATATCCACCTAATTACAGGACACCTGGCTATTTAAAAGAAATGTTAATGGATCTAAAGGGAGACATGGACTCCCATACAAGAGTAATGGACTTCCATACCCTGCTTTCAGCAATGGACAGATCAAACAGACAGAAAATCAGCAAGGAAACAACAGTTAATTGACACTACAGACCAAATGGACCTAATGGATATCTACAGAACTTTTCATCCTGAAGTTGTAGAATACACATTCTTCTCACCAGTGAATGGAACCTTCTCTAGGATAGATCACAGGTCTCAGCAAATTCAAGAAAATCAAAATCATACCATGCTTCTTCTCTGACCACAATGGAATGAAGTTGAAAATCAACAACTCAAGAAGCTCTAGAACATATGCAAACACATGGATACTGAACAACATGTTCCTGAATGAATAGTGGGTCACAGAAGAAATCAAAAGAGAAATAAAAAAAACTGTTGAGGAACAGTATTTTTTTTCATACTATTTGTTGAACTCTTAGTATAGAATTAATCTGTGTATAAAGTTAATTGAAAGTGGATTTTAGTAAAAAAATAAGAATGGAATTAGGAGAGGGAGGAGGAAGAAAGGTAGGAAAACAGGTGGGAGGGCAGGTACAGTGGAAAGAATCATTGTGTTGTTAAAGTTGTATTTATGAAATGCATGAAGTTTGTACACCTTAAATAAAAGGTTTCTGGGGGGAAAAACAGCAATTAAAAGTTCTTCCTGGCCCAAAGCCTTGAGTCTCACATAATAGGTATTTTCTTCTGGGAAACCTTAAAAACCCAAAGGTTAATGTCAAATAGAAATAAGAAAGCCCCAGGGACTATAGGCAATCACAACCTTTTCCACTCCTTCCTTAAGACTAATGTGGACAGTAACCTACTGTGGAGAGAGGGAGATCAACACCATCAGCCAACACCAGGGTGACTTCTATGAGAGGTGACCAAGAGAAAATGGACAAGGGTATTCCTCAGCCCTGACACTACTAAGAATGTCTGGGCTTCCAAGAGTATCTGCTTACTGAGTGCCCACAAAGTGCAGGAATAGTGCTAAGTGCCCTACATTCATAATCTCACTGAGTCCTCCAGGCAAGCAGGTAGTTGCACTTCACAGACCTGTAACCCACAGTACATACAAAGACCAGAAAGCGAAAGAGAATAATGTAAGCAGTGCAAGCAGTTCCATTTACTATGTGTCTGATGCAGAGCGAGCATGTGGTGGTGACAGCCATGGCTGCACTGCTCCCTCTCTTTTCACTGAGTCTGAGCGGAGCATCTTTCATACAGCCTGGTCTCTAACACAAGCCAACTCTCTGATCTAGTGTTCAAACAAGAAAACTCAGCTGTGCTGGTTAACTTACTGAAAGATTGTGTGTTGACTTCAGAAATGGCTCCTTGCCAAAGGATTTTCCAAGCCAACTGTGATTTTTGGCTGAATGTGATTTTCACCTTCTGTGCTGACTTTAGGATGTAATTAGCTAGTAGTAAAGTATGACTCCACTGTATCCTCACTTACATTTGAAGAAACTGAGCTTCATGATTCACTTAAGGTGACACAACTGGTAGAGTGAGCATCTAAGCCCAGATCCCTTTTCTCCAATCATTTTCTTTAACCACATCACATACCTTCTATGTACTGCTAGTCATCAAACTCCTGGGAAGATGGGATGGGACAGCAGCAAGAACATTAAGGCAGGAGTGCGCAGACGGGGGTTCTAGTTCCCTTCCTGCCATTTCCTAGCTGTGTGACTTTAGACTGGTCAGGTAGCCCTTGCAGCTACCTTATCTGGGCCACAATCTACCACTGACCCTACTTAGCAGTTACCCCAGGGGCCCCAATCAGCACGATGGGGGTAGAGCAAAGGGAAAGGAAAATGAGAATTCGGGGCTACAAGTCTACAGGAGCCTTGCTATGGAAAAGAAGTCAATGAACGATGTTAACTGGATGGGAACACTGGCTATCTATGGAGGGCTGGGGGAAACAAAAGGCTTGTGTGTTCTCAGGTCTTCCAATTTTTCCAAGAGTTGCTAGAACTCTGGATTTTTAAACATTGGCAACAAACTGTTGTTTCAAAAGCAACAAAAACATGAAGATTAAATAAAGCATGAGGTGAGCTTCATTCAGCAGAGGCTATTACTTTGTACCCTTTCAGCTAAGTGACCTCAGAAGTCTCTTCTACCATCCAGGAAGACCTAAAAGGTACAGAGGTGAGGGCCAGGTGTTGACTGCTGTTAACATCAGGATCCTTTTTCACACACAAGGAAGCTAACAGGCATCTTGGGTGTTGGGGTAGAGAGGATGGATGTAGACAAGAAAAGCTCACCCAATGAATGAAGAGTAGGAAGATCTTCCCCAGTCCCACGGGAAAGACCTAGACTAGTTCTTGACCTCCAAAGAGAAAGAAAAGAAAGAAAGAAAGCTCCTAAGCTCCCAACAGCTGTTAGGTCCACTCGGCCGATGGTCCAAATATTGGTTTAGGAGCAGGCTGACTTCACACTTCAGGACTTAAACCAGGGAAAGCAAATAGGTTTCGTTTAAAACACAAGTTTCAATCAACTGGAAGTGGCTGCCTAGAGTGTGTCCCAAGGACCCTGAGTCCCAGGTGAATCCACGTTCTGACCAATCGGCCAGGACTGCCAGACACGCAGCGAAGGGAAGTGGCAGCACTATTCCATGTATTTGCCATCCCAGGCTGAACCCTCCTCTGGCAATGAACCAGCCTCAGCTTCCTGCAGTCCCGTCAAAGACCGAAGCCCCTGTCCCTGGACAGCTCGCCAGGCTAAGACTGCAGCTCACACATTCCCAGTATATTCACCGAATGACCTGGTTTACAGCAGTGTCATTGCTCTGAGCTGAGCAGTGGGGGATCGAAGGTGACGCAGATGCTGTTCCTCTCCTGGAGGTACTCAGATTTCAGAGAAGGAGCCAAAAAAAAAAAAAAAAAAAAATCACAGATAACTGTCATCTAAGGAGAAGTCATAGGAAGTCATGGGGGTTAGCTGGTCACTTAATCTGCTTCCGAGAACCTAACAAAGTGACAGCTGAGTTGCTTCTTGAAGGAAGAGTGGCTCTCTTGGCAGAGAATGGGACAGGGCAGGAGGTGCATCCTCTGAGTACAGAGAACAGCATACAAAATGGTAGAAAGCCAAACGGCCTGCTCAGGAAATGGGGAAAGCCTCGACAGCCCTGGAGTGTGGAATGCACGAGGCAGGCTGCAAAGGAAGTTTAGCAAGGGTCTAGAATAGCAGGCTCGGGTGTTTGGACTTAATTCAACAGGCAGCTGGAGCCCAAGAAGGCCTTCAAGCGGGCGAAAGAGACCGCTCAAGTGGGTTAAACGGACCTCACTGGCTACCGTGTGTTTGTCCACGCTGAAGAGAAGGGGAAAGGCAGGTGCCTTCGGCAAAAAACACTGCCAAGAAAGGGGCGGATTCGAGACACATCGAAGAAGCAGAAAGATGTGGTGACCCTCAGATGCGGGAAAATGGGAGAGCAATCCGTGGGTCAGCAGGTGGGCAGGCATGTTGGGAGACTGCCATTCACTTCCCTCGGGCACAAGGAAGTTCGGACAGAACGCGGCAGCCGGTCCCTCCCACTGGGCTCCCGAGGCGACATCCCTGAGGGCGGAGCCCGGGGTGGGCCCCCTTGTTCTAGGCCAGCAGGCAGAGACGGAAACGCTATTCCTTCAGGTCGGGCTCCAGCTGAGGCCCTCGGACTTGACTTCTGGCCAGGGCCCCAGAGCTCGCGACCCTTCCTTGTGTGGGCTCCAGACTCTCCGAGAACGCTCCCACCTCCCAAACCTCTCTGAGCCTCCTTCCGAGGACCCTCCTCCCCCACCAGGGCCCTTTCTCTCCCTCCTCCTCCCCGACCCCTCGGTGACCCGTCCCAGCGCCGGGCGTTCATCCTCTGACCGCCCCTCTCCCTCCACCCGCACAGTTCAGCCGCTTCCTCCCCTCTCACCTGCCCCGGCCCCCTCTGACACCGCCTACTCCTAAGCCTCCAGCCCAGAGCCTGAGTCCCGGCTGCCCCCGCCCCGCCACCCGGACTCACCCACCGAGACACCCACTTCACAACAGGGCGGAAGTGCTCCTGAGTTCGCGCAGAGGATGCTGGGACGCGGAGTCCGAACGGCGCCACCCCAGGAACGGGGCGTCTGAGACTACAACTCCCAGAAGGCAAGGCGCGAGCGCCAGTGGACGTCCCCCTCCGTTCGCTGCCTTTCAGATGTCGTCAGCTAATAGATGTGCAACCTTCTCAAGGTCCTGGCACGGGGACAAATCAACCCGTGGGGGCGGGGCCTATTGCGATGCCAACCCTTTCTCGTAGGCTCTGGGATAACAGCACCGCCCGGTGGGCGGGGCCTGGACCGGGAAGGGGCGGAGCCTATTGAAGGGTGGGAGGGAGCCGTGGACCCGGAGAGATCAAAGGAGAAATAAGGGGAGGGGTGGCTGGAGGTGTCCAGACCGGTGGGCAGGAGGGGTCGGGCAGTTGAGGGTTCGGTTTCCAGCTCACAACTAAGCAGCGTGGCTTTAGACGAATTCTCGCCTGTGACGTGAAGATAATAATTACATCCATGTCACTGGGGTTTGACAGGCCCCCATGAGATAACACACCTAGCCGATTAGCTCCGGGTCGGGGTCCTGACCGGCGAATGCTGGCTGTCAGTATGCACTGACAGTATGTTGGCTGTGTGTCCTTAAACGCACTTTTTTGGGGGGTGGGGGGAGTCTGTAAAGTGCAGGTGGAATAGCACCTACGTTGCAGGGTGTTGTGAAGGTTGAGATGCCCTGGGTAAAGCAAAGCGCTTGTGTCTGAAGTTTCTTGCTTTCAAATGCAGGATGCAGAGCTCGCCCAAGCTCACCGGTGGTGGTGAAACTTTGGGCAGGTTTCACCTAACCCCTTTAAGCCTCGGTTTGTTCATTTGTAAAATGGAAACCCTAATAATGACATCTTCCTGATAGAGTCATTGAGAGGAATCAGCAGGAGAAAGTGTGTAAGGAGCTTGGCACATAGAAGTCGGTTCGTAACCATTGGCTGCTGTTACTTTTACTAATGGTTTTGAGACTTCGGGCAAATTGACAGTACCTAGCACTGGCAAGGACATAGTGACTATGTTAAAACTAAGGGATTTCCTAGTTTTGATGACCTAGTTCAAATTCCTTCTCTGTGAACCATTTTTCAACTTATTTATAGTAATAACTTGGGTCATTCAATACTCAGTGGACATAACAGCGACCTATAAACACTGCGTGTGGTTGAATTCTCACAGCAGTCCTGTGAGACTGAGTGCTTAGAAAGAAGTGACCTGCACAAGGTCACACGGACAATACGAGCCATACCTGAAACGAAAGCTTAAAACTATGTGTGTGACTCCACGTGGGTATGTGGGGCTCATCTGGGCTCCACTTCTATGGGGAAGAGACCACTGGGCACCATGGTGGAGGGAACAGTGTGGTATGGGATTCGGGGGGCGGGGCAGTCTGGAGACTTTTGAGAGTGTGGCGGGGTCTGAAGCTGGCCAGGCAGCTTCGCAGGGTCAGGCAAGGGTCTACTTCCCTTGTTCTGCCCTGAAGAGGAAGGAGGCAAGAGGAGAAGGAAGGGCGCCATTAGGACACTAGAGGGCGCGCTTCACCACAAATCCAGCCTGGACTCGCCCGTGGATTCCTAAACCTTTGTCTAGGAATGCCCTAGCATTTTCAGAAGAGGAAAACTAAGAAAGGTCCCAAGAGATCAAATGCCCTGCAGAGCTTAACTGGGCCTGGGTGCTCTGTGATGTGCATCAGGGTTGGGTTTGCAAGCATGCTGCCCACGGTTGTCAGTGCCACCTTGACCTGCCCCAACACTAGGCTCTCAGTCACAATCCAAACCTGGTCCCTGCCTCCAGGGCCTTATCTGCAAACTTTTCTGGATCCAGCATTCCTATGAGCAAAACTTATGACCAGGGCCGGCGCCGTGGCGTAGCGGGTAAAGCCGCCGCCTGCAGTGCCGGCATCCCACATGGGGGCCGTTTCGAGTCCCAACTGCTCCAATTTCAATCCAGCTCTCTGCTATGGCCTAGGAAAGCAGTAGAAGATGGCCCAAGTCCTTGGGCCTCTACACTCACATGGGAGATCTAGAAGCAGCTCCTGGCTCCTGGCTTCAGCCTGGTCCCAACCCCCACTGTTGTGGCCATTCAGGGGATGAACCAGCAGATGGAAGACCTCTGTGTCTCTCCCTCTCTTTGTAACTCTGCCTTTCAAATAAACAAATAAATATTTTTTAAAAATTTGTCAATGATATACATGTAATAATAGCTCATTTTCCTGAACATTTGCAATGTACAATTAGGTCCTGCTCTCAGTGCCTTAAATGTATTAACTCAATTAATTGTCTCAAAGCCCTGTAAGGGAGAGTCTGAGGCTAGCCCATTTTACAAAGGGGGAAACTGGGATACAAGGAAGTTAACAGGCCAAAGTCAGCTGGCTAAAAAGCAGGCAGTCTAGCTTCAGAATAAGATGAGTTTAAAATTTTAAAAATACATAGAGATGTTTCAACATTTTCTTACCCAGGGGAGTCATCTTCCATGCCCCATTTTGGGTGCCACGGTTCCAGGCCCCCAGATCTGTGACCAGTTCTTGGAGAAAAGGGGGTGAAGGGTGTTGTGGGAACCCAGCGACAACAGCTTACCCAGACCCAGAAGTCAGGAGAGGTTTCCCGAGAAAGTGACAGCTGAGCTGGATCTCAGAGGACATGGAGGCAAGTGCCCGAGTGTGCAGGGACAGAGACTCCGGCAGTGGAGGGGCAGCACGTTCCAAGGCCCAGGGGCAGGAGCGCACAGTGTTCTGGGAGCTACCCGTGGTTTATCAGGGCTGCGGCACACAGCAGCAAGGGGGCAGCTTCCTCCCCCCAGGGTTGCTGTGAGGCTCAGAGGTCGATCGATGCGAACGCCCCCTCGTGTTTTTACCGCGGGAGCAGGCAATCTACTGCCTCCTGGGCAGCATCCCAGCTTTGCAGTGCTCGGCTGCCAATCCCTCTCTAACCCAGATGGCAGAGGGGGCCCTCTTGTCCCTTGAAGATCTGGTCGGACTTGGCCTGGACCCCATCGCACAGTCTCGGGCGGCTCAGAGCCCCTTCCCCCACCCTGCCCCGTGCATTCCCAGGCTCATTTCCTCTGGGCTGCAGTTTGTGGCTGCTGCCCCTTCACCTTCTGCCTTCCGTTCAAAACGTCATCGTCATCATCATAATAAAGTTCCAGCAAGCCAAGCATTTTGTGGATTTAGTAAATTTACTGAGGGTTTGGAGGTTGTCGGAATGTGTCGCATGCTGCATGGCCACCTGCCAGCTCCCAGCTCCCGGATCCTCCCATCCGGCCTCCAGAGCCTGTGCTCCTCACAAGTGACCCTCCCCACACAGGCAGTGCCCCCCACCTCCTACAGGAAGCTGGGTTCCGTCTCCCGCCCCGGCACACATACCCGCTGGCTCCCTGCCAGGCTGCTTTGCTTTTCCTAAGCCCAGCCCCCAGCACACAAGCACCCACCCTACCCTAACCCAGACTGCCGCAGCCTGCACCCCAGCCAAGCCCAAAAGCCCTCCTTTTTTTCCTCTTCCTCGGGCCACAGGCAGTAGTCGCCCCTGCGGAGCAGCCAGGCCAGTCTGTGGTAGCGGGGCAGCTGGTGGCGGGAGATGCGCTCCAGGAAGATCAGCAGCAGCACGGGGGGCCGAGGGGCAGCCAACACCAGGGAGGTGGCCAGGCGGAGCTCCAGGCGGCAGCGGGCCGTGTGCAGGGCCCGGTGACTCATCACGCACAGGGTCACCCGGCTGCCCGCCATGCTGTCGGCCACATTGTCAACCACGTCTTTGCCCGGCTCAAAGTCCCTCTCGGGGAGGCAGAGGCGCAGTCCGCGGCCAGCTGGAGGACAGCCCTCCAGAATAGGCAGCAGCTCCTGCACCACCCAGCCCTGGTCTTCGCTGCAGTGGGACACGAACACATCGTAGAGGAATCTCCTGCCCTCGCCCCTCTGACCCCACAGACCCTGGAGCCAAGCCCTGAGCCAGGCCTGGAGATAAAGGACCCAAGAGTTGCGGGCTTCCTGGAGGAGGGGCAAGGCGATCAACAGAAGCAGCAGGCAATAGGAGCCCACAAAAAGCGCCAGCTCCAAGGTCTGGAAGCAGTGGCTCTGGAGAAAGGGGAAGAGAGGGCTCTTGGGACGGCCCTCAGCTTCTGCCGGGCACATCTGGTACGCTCTGATGTGCCAGTAGGTTCTAGGGGACCTCTCCAGCCAGGGTGCCACCCAGGCATTGGCGCAGAGACAGGCCAAGGACGAAGAGAGAATGTACATGTACTGGGGCATCCGGGGACTGTGGTCCTGGAGGCTGTCGTCCAGCACCAGGTTGTCCTCCTCCATCAGCACCAAGACCTGGAGACTGCCGAGGCCCCGGAACGCAGCAGCGGACAGGGTCTGCAGCCCTGTGTGGTACAGCTGCAGCACCTCCAGCCGGGGCAGCTCCCCCACCAGCTCTGCCAGCTGCAGGGGCCGGGGCTGGGCTCTGGACTTCAAGGACTCCAGCTTCAGCTCCTGGAGGCTGGGCAGCCCCGTGATGCGGCAGGGTCTGGAGATGTGTCCCAGCGCCTGGACCTTCAGGGACTGCAGCGTGGGGAGCTGCCACAGGAAGAAGCTAGAGTCGTCCTGGGAGCAGAGGGCCTCCAAGCTCCGGCCAATCAGAAAGAGCTGGCGAAGAGCGGGGAGGATTTTGGAGATATTCTGGGGCCCCAGCTGCAGGCCCCAGTCTTTTAAAGTCATTGTCTGCAACACTGGAAAGACATTAGAAGCCAGTTCCCAGGGCTTCCTGCCTGGGACAGCGTGCAGCTCCAGGCTGGTCAGCCTGGTGGGCAGGGACAACGCCACCCCAGGAGGGCCACGGGGGAGCTGCAGCTTCAAGTCTTGCAGACTCTCTGCTCCCCAGAAGGCCCCGGCTGAGCTCAGCTCCACATGGGTGTTGAGCAGGTTCAGACTGGTCAGAGCACGCAGAGGAGCCAGCCAGCCCTCACCCAGGGATACCAAAGGATTGCTGTGCAAGTTCAAGGTCATTAGCCTCTGTAGGCCTTGGAACATCTGGCCCTCTAGGTGAGTCAGCTGGTTTATCTGAAGTTCCAGCTCCTGTAGCTGTGGCAGGCAGGAGAAGGTGGCTGGAGGCAGGATGCGCAATCCATTGCCGGACATGTCCAGGGCCCACAGGCCTGACACAGGCCCTGTCTCGTTTGCACACAGCATGACAGCCTGCAGCTGGTTTTGGGCCAGATTCAGTCTCTGAAGCCTGGGCATGGTGGCCAGGAAACTTGGTGGCAGCTCCGTCAGGCCAGTGTTTCCAAGATCCAAGGTCTTCAGGCTGTGGCAGGAAGCCAAGGCCTCCGGCGCTATGCGCTTTATCCGATTGCCCCTCAAATGCAGCTGCTGCAGCTCCAAGGAGGCAACCAGCTCGGCAGGCAGTGCCACCGTGTCAGAGGATGACGCGAACAGCGTGTCCAGACTCTGCAACCCCAGTCCCAGCACTGCAGCTGCTTTTATCTTGGTGCGGTCCAGACGCAGGGTCCCCAGTCTCAGGCCCTGGAGAGCCCCAGAACTGATATTCTGCAGCTTCGCGTTGAAGGACAGATCCAGCCTGTCCAGGGTCCAGGCATCCTTAGAGGAAGCGCCTTGCACCAGATCTGGGAAGATGTTGGCCAGCGTCCCCATATCCTGAAGGCAACCGTGTGTGACAGACAGCTGCCGTAGCGCAGGAGGCAGTCGGACACCCAAGCTTTCGTCCAGGCAGGGGCCCGAGAATCTGAGGTGTTGGAGGGCACTGAGGCCGCTAAAGGCATCAGGGGGTAGGAAGAGTGGCGTCTTTTTCATTGGGGGAGCCGTGAAACAGAGATACTGCAGCTGTTCCAGGCCCCGCAGAGCTCCTGGCAGGAGCCGGCTGAGACGGAGATTCAGTTCCAGGACCTTGAGTCCCAGAAAGTTGGAGAAGGCATCCTGGGGCAGAACAGAAATAGTACCAGAGAGACAGAGCCCCTGCACCCTCTGCGGCACAGCCTCCAAGGCCTGGGTCAGGTTGGTCACCGAGAAGCATGTGGCAAGGAGGGGCAGGCTAGAGTACAGCCGGAAGCTTATGAAGTAGCGAGACAGCAGAGGCAGCCGGGAGCCTTCGGTCACTAGGCAGTTAGAAGCCGTCCAGCCTGCAGCCGGAGGAAGACACAGGAGCAGACCAGGCAGCAGCACACGCCTGCCCATCGCAGCTCCAAGCCTGGGCCACAGAGAAGTGGAATCAGAACCCCACTAGCTCCCCTCCTTTTCCCAGCCCCCACCCCCTCCCTCTGCACGCGTATGTACACAATACTCACAGCAGGGACCCGAAGGGATCCAGAAGCAGGGTCAGAGGGTCCCAGCGCTTCCAATCTGCAGAACGGCTGGGGAACTGAATGTCAGGGTGGGATGAGGGCTCCGAGGGTCAGGGGGAAGGGGAAGAATGCTAGTGGTGAAATGGGGCCAGGGTTCACTTCTCCACCACGAGGAAGGAAGTAGCATCCTAAGCACGAGTTCTGGCGCCAGGGATTTGGGATCCCTCTCTGCCACAGTAGTGGGAGATGCTGGGGACCACCAGTCCGAGCTCCAGTTTCTTTACAAGCATCCTAATACCTGCTTCGGAGGATTGTTGCAAATTACAAATGGGGTCTTCTCCTCATCACCCCCTTGACTGCTCCCTCTCCTTACTCTTAACAGAAACGAGAAGTAAATCAGGAATTTTGAAAAAGCAGATGCTGTGTAAGAATAATAAAACATGAAAACATTGCCCTGTGGACGTCCTGTTCTGCCTGGAAGAGACCAAGAGCCCAGGTGCAGCTGGGAGCACCGGCCAGCTCTGCTCCCGCCCTTCCAAGCAGGCACAGGGAGGGAAGGTCCCCTGGGCGTGGACCCTGACGTGCAGGGTCTGAGGGAGGGCAGGAGGTGACCATCGCCAGCAATGCAGCGAACCACGATCTGCTCAGAAGACAAACTCCTTGACTTGGGAGATGTCACTCCCCCTCTCGCGGAGGAACGACACTGGACCCTGCGCTGTTCTCTTTGCCCGGCCCTTCCCAGGTTAGCTGCCGTTCCCTCACTCGCGGAGGAACGACGCCGTCCTGGGTTAGCTGCCGCACCCCCCACCCCCCCGCCTCCATGGAGGGGCGGCGGCACCCCCACCGCTTTCCCCGCTTCCGCAGAGGAGCGGCACACCGCCGGCCGGCTCTCTCGGGGGCTGCACAGATGTTCCCTTTAGATGTTCCTGGTGCATGTTGTCTCTCTCCTCCTTTATAGTCCTCTTCCACCAATCCCAACTCTGCTGCCCACACGCCGAGCACACTGCTCTCCTCCAATCAGGAGCAGGATCAGCTCCTGCAGCTTATCAGTCGAATTGGTGAGGCAGCTGTGTAGAAGTTGTTTACTCTCTCTCAGCTCCAGGTTGTGGGAGATCAGATGCATAGAATTCGTCTTAGCAATTCCAGTAATTTAGTCCAGTCTCGGTTGCTCTCCACAGGGAGAGGCTGTCTACCCAACTCTACAAGAAATGTAAGAACCATCTACTGCATTCCATCTAAAGCTGGAAATGAGACACCTCTATTTCTGTTCAACATTACGATGGAATCCTCAGCAAGGAGAATGAGAAAGAAAGAAAAGGCTCAGAAATGAACATTATGTGGACTTTAAAGGAGAAGCCCCAGGGTCACCATTTGTAAGACGCCCTGGTTACATTAGGGTCCCAAGAATTTCTGGAAACAGACCTTTTTTTTTAGAAAAAAGATTTTATTTACTTACTTAAGAGGTAGAGTTATAGACAGAGAGAAGGAGAGACAGAGAAAGGTCATCCATCTACTGGTTCACTCCCCAAATGGCTGCAACAGCCAGAGCGAAGCCAATCCGAAGCCAGGAACCAGGAGCTTCTTCTGCGTCTCCCATGAGGGTTGCAGGGGCCCAAGCCCTTGGCCATCTTCCACTGCTTGGAAACAGACTTTTAAAATTGAAGAATGGTTAGCAAAGATGCTGAATACTAGATAGTTTAAAAAGAAACTTTCTAATTCACCAGTGCTTTAGTTAGGATCTTTATAGGGAAAAGCACATTCAAATTAGATTTTTTAAAGATTTATTTTATTTATTTGAAAGAGTTACAGAGAGAGGTAGAACCAGAGAGAGAGAGAGAGATCTTCCATCCACTGGTTCATTTCCCAAATGGCCACAACAGCCAGAGCTGAGCTGATCTAAAGCCAGGAGCTTCCTCCAGGTCTCCCACCCGGGTGCAGGGCTCCAAGCACTTGGGCCATCTTCCGCTGCTTTCCCAGGCCATAGCAGAGACTGGATCGGAAGTGGAGCAGCTGGGACTTGAACTGGTGCCCATATGGGATGCCGGCACTTCAGGCCAGGGCTTTAATCCACTGTGCCACAGCACTGGCCCCTCAAATTAGAATTTTAAATACATTTTGAGAGACAGACAGATGGATGAACAGAGAGTCCCCTCTAAGAGGTTCTTGTGCAAAGGGACTAATCACAAAAGTGTTAGCAGGACTCAGGGGGATCACGGGCTACTTCAGGAAGCCAGGAAGAGCTAGCGATATAGGCACTGTCAGCTCTCCTTGAAGGAAAGGGATAACGTCTGGGAGATGTTGCCAGAGCCTGGAAAGAGAGAGTTTGGAAGGACCAGCTGCCTTGAGAGCAGCAATGACTTCGGTCCAATTATGAAACCAACCTGGGAGGACCTCGCAGGAAGGGAAACAGGGGCATGAATGTTCTGGTCTCTCCCCTCCTCTCTCCCTCTGAGCTGTCACCAGACTTCTGCACTGGCTTCAGAATCAGAAGGGGTGGGGGAGGAGGCCCTAGTGCAATCCAAATGGGGGAGGGGACCCTAGTGTAATCCGGGGTGGGGGAGGGGTCCCTAGTGCAATCCAGGGTGGGGGAGGGGACCTAGTGCAATCCAAATGGGGGAGGGGGCCCTAGTGTAATCTGGGGTGGGGGAGGGGGCCCTAGTGTATCCAGGGTGGGGGAGGGGGCCTTCGTGCAATCCAGGGTTGGGGAAGGAACTCTAGCATGATCAGTTCAGGGCGGCCTCCCTGGGCAAAGAGCAAGACAGAGAAGGACAAGAAGCTGTGCAGGGGCCAGCTGTGGCTATCCGCCCACATGTAACCATGTGCCCTGAAAGCAAACCCGAGGAACACTTGTAAGTCCCAAGGACACATAGACAGGTGGAACAGAACAGAGTCCAGAAACAGACCTCAGCATAGGCAGCCCCCTGGTTTACCAAAAGATACCTGGTTTGTTCCGTTTATCTCCTCAGAAACCTAAATACAAAAAATAAAGCAATAAATCTTTTTGGGGAAACATGGACTATTTTCATGGTGTTAAGATAGGCAAAAATTTTACTAAGTAGGCCACAAAAATTCTAACTATAACTTTTTTTTTTTTTTTTCAGAAACTGGCCTTCATTAAAGTTCAGAAATTGCACTCACGGAAGGATACAATTGAAAAAGGAGGAAGATAAGGCATCTGTAGTACACCTCTCAGCCCAGGGCTCTTAGGTCTGGAACATGACAGATACACTGGTGGAGGGCCCATGGGCCAAGAGGGAAGCCTAAGGAAAAGCAGGAAGCGTCTTAGCTGAACAAAGACAAAAATGCTACCCAGCAACACTAAAACATGAACCCTAAAGCAGCATCCGTGGAGAAACGCCCAGCTTCGGATGTCAGGGTCCAAAGAGGAAGAGCAAGAACCGAAAGTCGGTGAACCAGGCAGCAGCTGCTAAAACTCAGAAAAGGAACAATTAAAAGGTATGTAAAAAGACTCTCACTTCCCTCAATGTGCAGATTGGTAGCAAAATAGCCCAGCTTTGGCCTGTAGCCTGGTGCAGCCCCAGCTGTTGTGGGATATTTGGGGGAGTGAACCAGTCGATGGGAAATCTCTCTCTCTTTCTCTCTCTCTCTCGCTCTCGGTGTGTCTATCTACCTATCTCTGCTCTCTCGTCTGACTTGCAAAATAAATAAATAAATAAGTATTTTATTCTAAAGTGAGAAGCGCTAAAGTGAGAGATTAAGGCCCGTTTTAGGAGGCCTGGGTACCACATGGGAGTACCTAGGTTCCATTCCTCACTCCAACTTTCTGCTAATACAGATCCTGGGAGACATCAGAAGATGGCTCAAGTAGTTGGGTTCCTGGCACCTCCCCAGGAGACCTGGACTGAGTTCCAGCTTCCAGCTTTAACCCCCTCAGCCATAATGGGCATTTGGGAAGTAAACGGAAGAGAGGAACCCTCTGTCTCTCTCTCTCCATCTGTTTTCTCCCGCTTGGTTTTTGTGTCTCTGAATCTTTTTTTTTAAGCAAGAAGAGTGGAATTTAAAATATGTAGAAAGTCAGCAAATACTAGAATATGACTGCCTCAGTTTCCCCTTGTCGCGTGAGCCAGATTAGCTTACTTTATCGCAATTCCCCAACTGTGGGCTGCACGGGAAAATCTGGGTCTGCTTCCTTTCCCCAGTCCTCCCCCAGGAGTCCTGGAGGCTTACAGAGCTACAGGCTGCCTGAGCCAGAAAGGGGCTGTGTTCACCTGGGCCAACCCCTTCCTTCTCAGATGGAGAGACTGAGACAAGAAGAGGATTTTCCAGGGCCAAAGAGAGGTGGGTTCAAAACCCAGGGTTGTGGTCAGGATGGGTGGGGATGGAGTATGGGGGGCAAGGAGCAGCCTCCACCCCCAACCATGGGAAATAAAATGAAGCTCCTGAGGCCCAGAAGTCTCCCCCCCTCTACCACCTTGAATCTCCAGCCCCTTTGGGGGCTATGGGGTAAGGAGTTCCTAGAAGGAGGCTGAAGCCTGACAAGTTCTCACGCCAGAGTTTGGCCAGGGCTGCCCAGAGAACTGCTGTGGGAAGAAAGAGAACCGAGAGACCAGCTTTGCAAATAAATAAACCAATAAATCAAATGGAAATAGATGTCCACTTTCTGGAGGGCCCACTTTCCTTCCGCCCCCACCCACCCGTCTCACTTCCTTTCCCACGCAGTCCCTTGGTCCCTGGACCCCATCACCTCCTTTTCTTCACACTCAGTGTGCTCCCCAACCCCACCTTGGCCTTCTTGCCCTCCTGGGAGACACACTTCCTACAAGCCCAAGCACTGGCCTCTCGGGAAGCAGTCAGCTGGCCAGCCGGTGGCATCCTTGCTCAGCCACGTCATTGCAAAGCATAGTCGATTCTAAATCAAAGGAAGAAACAGCTCAGCTGCAACTCTGCCATCCTCCATTCAAGCAGGTCCTGCTTGCCCGAGTTCAATTCTCATCCCAACACTGAACGCTGTAAGACTACCGCTGTCGGCACCTTGCTCTGTCGGACATCCTGGTAAGCATCTCTCAACGATACGGCTGGATGTGTGTGGGTTCCCAGGACCCCTTTTATTTGGTCACCCAGGATGCCTTTTAGGAATAGAAACAACTCACATTTGTGGAGAACACAGGCCCCACTGCACTACCCTCTCTTCATCCTAACGGCATGGTTCTTGTTTCTGCACCCCACCCCCCATTCCCTAGAAGAAACATTGCAGGGGAGACATCCTGGGGCCTGCCAAGGCGCCTTCCTCTGCCCACAGCGAGAAAGCCGCCATCGCTACCTCCCCACGTGGGTCTCCAGGCGACAGTTGGGCTTCGGTGGCAAGCCTGTGTGGCTCTGGGGTGGTCAGGGGCGATTCCCGGGCAGGCCCTTGCTTCCTGCTCTTTCGGACATCACAAGGACAGACGGGAGACTGACCGAGGGCCATGGAACGAGGAGCTGTCTCTCACTGAGTCCCAGAACAAATGGGGACGCCAGCAGGGCAGCGGGGCAGGGTTTGCAGAGCAGAGCGGCTGGGTGGGCCTGCGGGGAGGTCTGGGGAAGTGAAAGAGTCCCGGGCTTGCCTGCGGTCTCAGTTGTGGTTCCTCTTGTGTCCAGAAACTGAAAGAAAGTCTGAGGACCCCAACCAGGTTCCTTGGCCAGATGTGTGTGTGTTGGGGGGGGGGGGTCTCTCTGGGAACCTATATCAGCTGCACCTGGGGGCCCACTGAGTCCAACACAGGAGTCTGCCGGTAGCTTCTACCTTCTCACCACCAGCAACGGCCGCCTCCGCCCAAGCAAACACCAGGCTCCACTAAAACCCAGGGCCGGCTTTGGAGGGTGCAGAACTCACCCCTCCCTGATCTCCTCACCCATCACCACCCCCGACCACATCTCTTCCTTGTAGGTGCTGAACTTGCCCCCTCCCCACCCCAGGGATCCTTTGTGGGAATCCAGAGGGAAGCAGAAGCCAGCAGCTTGCTTTTCTTGGGGTCTTCCATCAACCCCCTCTGCGTGAGACTCTCTACTTGGGGACCACGGGGTTCTCGGCGGGCTCTAGGGGGAGAAGCAAAACGATCTGTTGCTAAGGGGAACAACGAAGCCCCCCAGGGCCGATAGCAGGGGTAGGGGGCAATGCTTGGGAATCAACTGTCCTGGTTTTTCAGTCTTTTCGCTTTTGGCCTGCAGATTTCACGATTTAGATAATCTCCTTTTTTATCCAGTGTACAAGGGCTCTTAGCTGCCGACTCCATTCCCTCTTTCAAGCCACCGCTACTCTGAGAGGGCTGCTGCGGTCCAGGGATAAAAGGGGTAGGGCCTCCCATCCTCAGCAATACCCCAGATACCGTCTCGGAGTCTCCCGCCAACAGCATGCCACGCTCCCCGGGAACGTGTGAGCAGCGGCCACCAGAGCCCTGGGCCTGCAAGACTCCTGGAAATCAGGTCCCTTGCCAGCTTCTGGGAATGCTTACAAGTCAGGCCAGTTCTCTGTGGTTGTCACTTGTCACCTCTGCTTCACTGCACCCCTGGTCTGGACTCTAGCCGGGCCCGCCCTCTGCACCTTCTCTGCTCTTCCCACTCAGCTTTGCCCAATCATGAGCTTCTTTCCAGGGGACCGCAAGGCCCCTTCTCACCTCTGCATCCTCTCCCTCTGGGACCATATGCAGTCGCGTGGTTTTTAAACACCATCTGTTTGCCCGTGACTTAACAAAGCCGCATCGGTAGCACTGACTTTTTCCTGAACTCCGGAATTGTAGATCCGATCGCCTATTTGCAATCTTCACTTCAGGGTCAGGCAAGCAGTTCAAACTCAGCCAGAACAAACCCCTGACTTCCCAGCCTGCACGCTCATCCCAACCTGCCTCCCACCAGTGTCCCCATGTTAGGGGAAGTCTCAGCGCATAACGAGACACCGTCACGTAGATGCTCCAGCTCCAAACCTGATTCCTCTCTTCGCTCATGCCCTGAGGTCAGCCCTGTGGCTCTGCATCAGCACCCGGCCTGCGTCTGCCCGCTTCTTCCTGTCTCAGTCCCTAGGCACCCCCAAGTTACATGGCCATCGTCTCTGCTTTCATTCTTACCTCCTTGAAACCCACCACCATACAGAATCCAGAGAAGACTTTAAAAACATAAACCAGGGGCGGGACAGTGCTGTGGCCTGGTGAGTAAAGCTGCTGCCTGTGATGCCAGCGTCCCATATGGGCACCTGTTAGAACCCAGTGCTTCACTTCCCAGCCAGCTCCCTGCTAATGTGCCCGGGAAAGCAGCAGAAGATGGCCCAAAGCATTGGGCTGCTGCACCCATGCGGGAGACCTGGAAGAACCCTGGCACAGGCCCGGACTGTGGCAGCTCTTTGGAGAGTGAACAAACCAGCAGATGGGATATCTCTCTCTCCCTGTGTTTCTCCCTCTCCCTCTTTAACTCGGACTTTCAAATAAATGAATGTTAATTATAGATCTATAAGCCCAGGGGCAGATGTTTGGCACAGCATGTTAAGATGCTGCTCGGGATGCCTGCATCCCCTGTCATAGGGCCTAGGTTTGGGTCTTGGTTCTGTTTCCATTGCCAGCTTCCT